GGTTCACTACTAATATCCATTAACAAAGTAGTGTTCATGTTGAGGATAAAAGAGAGATGTAGTTATTCATCTTTGGAAATAAAGGAGTTGAGTAAATAAATGAAATCAACACACTCCAGCATCTGTCATGTCTTTAATAATTAATCTGCTTCCATCCTTGCAAAAAACATGGCCAGTGTCTCCATTTCTTAACTCACTCAGGGGATTCATGCTTGGCTTAGTGTGTCAGATAGAACTAAAAGGAAACAATGGCTGGTGATATATTATGACAGCTTACATCACTTTGTGTGATCGGTCAGTGTGCTCTTTGTTCTCAGATCACACATGTATCTGCTCCAATGTTAGAAAATCGATACAGTATAAAATTATATTAATTTAGTTTTGACTATTTTTCATTCCATTCAAATTAGCACAATTTTTTTGGGGTGTAAATAAGGATGATGTTGTAAGGATCCTTGGCGTCTTTAGGCTTTATAAAGCTTGACTGATATAAATTCTGACTTTGTGAGCGAACGAACACTGTGTTCTTGTTGCAGTCTGTGCCAAACATTTTATGCAAAACAGAAGTGTATAATTCACTCAAATACCTTTCTTCTATTACATTTCATAGCCGTAATTACAGTAAGCAGTAAGTAAAACATACAGCTGTAATCAACTCATCTGGTGGCTCTTATTTTTCTAGTTCCATCCTTCACCCCCCCATCCCTCCTTGATTCCACCACCTGTAAAGGCTGTGCCAAGAATTGTACACCCCACACATTTGATGATATATAATAGCTTTAAAACAGCTTGTTATTAAGTCATGTTAAATCATCATAACAAAATGGAAGGAACGTACATGTTTCATTTTGTTGGTTTTATTAAAATATGACATTTAAAAAAAATTAAGTTTCAGTTGATCAGTTACTTTTACCTGCAAATTCTCTGTAGGGTAATCAAATTGTAGTGTCTGTTGTAATGTTGTGTGGGTAACCTGAGTTGTCCCAGTGACCTAGCTGAAGCTCTGACAACTACTACACTGTACATCTTACATTCGGATGCTGACCTAATTAAATCAACCGATGACAAAGTAGTATGCATGATGAATTTTATTGTGATTATTACAACGTTTTGTCTGATGAAGCAAGTGATTGGTAATGGTGCTAGAATCTCCATAGAAACGGCAAAACAAAGTCAGCAAAATAGTTGATCATCCATGCAATCCTGTCATCGGTTACATATGTTTAGCTTCTTAATACAACATCTTATCACCCAGTGTTTCCCTGTCAAACTTATTCTTTACCATTTTCAAAGAGCATTAAAGGCAATCATCTGAGTGCCATTCTGAACTTTAGGTACTATTAACGAATTTAATGTATTCCATTGCTCTGTTTCAATGGAGTTTTCAACATAATTTTCAAGAAGTGCCATTAAGGGGATTTTAAAAACTTTTGTTATTTTTTAAGTTTGATCAGGTTTCAGTTTTTACTTGTTCAAAATATTTTTACCTAGGCAAAGGAGAAAACATTTTTGTCTATTTGCCCTGAAACTGACACTAACATTTTCAGAGCTTATCGAATGTGCCAGTAGACAGTTTAGGCAATGGTAATTTAGAAGACAAAGTGCCATTTCACAGTGGTAATACCTGATAAAATTCTGTAGCAAATGCATTCCAAATACCTTTTGTTAGAAGGAAATTACTTGAATGAGATCAGTGGCACCCCATTTGACACGTACCCTAGTCATTTCTACTGTGATATAGAGATGGCTTGTCAAAACAAAAGAAAATCACCTATTGTATAATTAAGATAAAATAAATAGAGATATTTGAAGTAAATTGGTAATTGATAAACTCAGATACAATAGGGTTATATTATTACATTTTGTGCCAGTTTAGATTAAACTAATGAAAAATTTTATTATTAAGACATCTTACATTTGTATGGTCTGAAAATTACATACTTGTGAGAATGCTTGCTTGGTTTTTGTAAACTGTATATATATTGTCCGAGATATCTGATCTTGTCACAAACAAGCCAGGTAGCAGAAAGAAGCCCTTCTTACTTTGCTGAGAGATGGAGCCTATGTACACATTCAACACCTCCTTTACAACATGAACTGAATATTGACACATGCTTTCGTCACAGACTGAGTTATTAATTCATTTATTTTGGCATAAGTATTGTAACTTTAATTAATGTGTAACATTCACAGCAGCAACATGCACATTTTAATTTAGAGAAAATGTGATGAACGTTAAGAAATCAACATCAGTTGTCATTATCACATAAATTTCAATTAAAATTTTCTCAGAGTTAGTTTTGCTTTACTTTACAGTCTGGTTAAAACTAAAATAGAGTGTGATTAAATCCTCCCTCATTTAAAAAAAATTAAATAACAAGTATGCTTAGCATTTGAACTTTGAACTAATAACATCCAATTCTATTAAAACCTATTAAATGTGTTTATTCATTTCAAGTCATATGTTCTCATGGTGTTTCTGATAAATGGGGTATCATTGGGACTAATCCATTTTACCACTTTGGTAACAATATATAGTTGCAGAAGCCAACAGTGGCATTTAGCATTTTTCAGGTATTGGCCATGTGGGTGAGACAATGGGAACTGTGTGTAAGTAGTGTATGTAGGATTTGTGTGTCAACATGTCCATTATTGAGGATGATTCCTCGTGCTCTCAGCCATTGGTTATTTACAGACCACTGACACATGTCACTGACAATATTCACTGTCTAACATTACGGTCCAAAAGATTAACCACTCCAAAAGTAAAAATATCTGAATCTCTGAATCAACCTCAAATTATTTTGCAGTGTCATTTAATAATATATACATGATACCATGCACCTGAAAAGACAATCTTTTGAACATATTATTGAAATAATACTGTCCGAAAACATGATACTATGACAGAACTGATGTTCTGTATCATATCATCCATGATATATTGTTGTTAGCAGATCACTTCCTGGTTTTTGCCTCAGGCAGGTCTGCTTAGCTCTGCCCGATCTTGTCCACCGTACTGTTATGTTTGTAACCAAGGCAATACCGTTTATCATGTCATATGGGCAGTTTCACCGGTCTTCTCGCTGTTTAATGACAAATATTTAGGTAGTTAATGTTTTGACTATTGCTATTGTTACTGTAGGCTATACAATTCACTGTTTGTTTTGTGACGTCCATGTTGCTGGTCCACTGGAGGAAGGGGGAGGGAGGGAGGGAGGGACTCTCCTGGCCGGGTGCTGTCAACAGTTCATTACTTGTGGTAACTGCTATGGTGTTATCATATGTACAGTGTAATTACATTCCTCCATGGTCACTCATCCACAACGCTGTCCCAGGAGGCTGTCGTCATCTATAATTATCACATACATGTAATTAGGATCCCACATGTCTCCTGCCCTCTCGTGAACAGCTACAATTGAATTTAATATCCAAGTCTGTAAGCCAGTGTGAACTTTGTATATAATACATATTTCTTAGACGGGCCTGAAGGATTTTGAGGCTGAAATACTGGTCCATTTTTGGGATATGAAGTAGTAAATTAGTGTATAGAGTAACATAGTAGACACACTGTGGCACAGGTAACAAATGTATGCTGTGTGGATGGTGCTATATGTCTTGTAACTGACTACTCACAACATAACATGGGCACACTTACCATTACAGCTGAAGATGATGCGATGTCCATATTGTGACCAATGGATGGCCACATCGTGACAACAATAGAAAGGAATCAGAAGTGTCAGGGGAATATTCTGCTAATATCTACTCCTGATTGATTTCTTGTGAAGAGTTTATCGAACAAAGAGTACCTAAGGGTTATAATTGAGTTGACTGTCAATAACAAATTGATCATGTTGATGGTTGGTTATTACTAAACTATTGGTCAGCAGTCAGATAGGCTGTTTTCAGTATTTCATTCAATTTTTGTTGATCTCTCAACAACATGAAAAAATGTTTACATTTCCAGTTTCTTGGCCTAAAAAAAGATTAAACAATTATAAATTGTTTCTTGATTATTTTCATATGCTGTAAATAATAAATATATAAATAAATAAATAAATAAATGGGATTAAAACCTTAATTTTCAAACATGATAAAGGCTTACTGACACACTGATGACCATAATTATGTTGAAAATGCTTGAATTGCGTAAGTCTGAAAATGGGATGTACTTGAGACAAAAAATGAATTTTCCTATAAAAACAACATGATATTTATTTACTTCAGACACTACCATTTTTGGCACAATTTTATTTTATGTGTTAATAAAATATTAAGTGAGTATCAAGCCTTTTTCACTACAACAGCAATCACAATTTGAAGTATCCTTGTAAGGAGATTATTTTTATCCATGTATATTGATTGTTGTTGCTAAGCAAGCATGGGAGAGGTGATATTACAGTCAAGAGTTTCTATCTGATGGAGTTAAATAATATTCATCATCCACTCCTCTGATTGAATAAATTAACCTGTCTGTGTCACCCAGCTGCTGTCATAGCCACCTGAAGTTTAGGGATGCTCGTTCAGTGTGAGAAACATTTATTTACCTAAGTGTGCGACATAGTTCCGTTGTGAATGTAAAAATTATTAATTGTTAATTTTATCATGTGAAATTTCACAGCACGAAAATCCCATGTCCCAAGACTGCTATAACCAGGCTAGTGTTTATCATAACCTCTGGTAACCACAAGGCATACTGCTGTGACTTAATTAAGACATTTGTAGATTTATGGGGACCAAAGAGATGAAAGCTGGGTGAGAAGGGTGTTGAAAACACTATTATCTTCAATTTACTTTTTACACAAGTATAGTATGTTACCTACCAAGGTAATAATTATTGTGTGAAGAATTTGTCCTTCGTGTCAACTATCAGCTTGGGATGATAATGACCATAATTCCCGGCCTGCTCCATTGCTTGACACCCCTCATCAGAAGTAGAATCTTCCAGTCTAAATTTACCGCAGGACATACCTTCTGGTGGCAGTGAAAGCAAGTCCTGCTATAGGTGCGACTTACTCTCAGTGTCAGAATGGGATGAGAGAGCAAGCTGAGGGGATGTTAAGATGGATAATGCCAAGAATAGACAGTGTATTGGATGATCATTATAGACCTTGATGTTGGATACGATGTGCTTCATTGACTTGTGATGGGCACAATAGCAGCAATGCTTGGGATGAGCACACCGGAAAGCTATTGGATCAGTTTCACCAGCCTCTACTCATTTCACAATTGTTAACAGTGTTGTGTGTTATCCAGATTCTTGAGAAGAGGTCCTCCACTGGCTGTGTGCTTCTGCTTTTATCATAAATCCTACCTTAATGCACCAGTGCATTTTTTTGCCTAAAAGTTGCCAAATCTTTGCTTAACATTATCTTGTCAACCATTATTTTTGAAGTAATTGCAATTGATCAGGGCGCAATTTATAATTTGAACATGTATAATTTGCCAAAAATACAGAAGATATCCATTGTCAAAAACTAAGTGCCTTGGTGAAGTGTGATATGATCTAGAGGCCATTGAAATGCTTGTCAAAATTAGTGGATTTATGTACTAGATACCATTAATAGGCAGAAAGACTTTTGTTATTTGAGCTGTTTAGGTGAAGTCAAGGAGGTTTTAGGTGCAATAAGTGATAGGTGTTGATAGGGGCAACTGAGGTCGACAGTTATTCAAATAGCCCTCGGACAGGGCAGTGTTCACAGTGCCTTAGGTCTTGTTCTTCCATGTTCCTGAGACTTTGATACCGCCAAAAGTCCTTCATTTTGCCATTAGGACACTTTGCAGCAGACTTGCCAGAAACCGACAGCAGATGCATTGTCTTGTAAACCTGATTTACTTTAAGTGAGCTACATTGATCAAATCAAAGGATATTTTTGCCTGGCTTGTGCCTAAAGGTACTTCCAAATACTCTGTTAAGTTCTACATAACAACAGATTTGAAAGAAATTCTGGCATGAGAAACAAGTGGATCCTTCCATCCAATAGTGTGTCTTCTATTTACACAGCCAAATCATTATGGAGTGTGTGATACTGCACCAACTGTGACTTCAAACTTCCCGACCTCAAATGCATCCCCAAGTGTCTGTGTTTTGTCCTGATGACACTCCACGTTACAGGTGTTGATCCAGACACCCATACACACCTGACTTACCTGCTGTTAAAGCAGTTGCCCCACCTGTCCCCTTCCAACTTGCCCCCTCACGCCTATACGCTGGCACACACAGGCAGGGGGAAGGGATATGGTCCTCAGCTGCCCCCGCTGATTGCCCTGGGGAAAGGGGCGCCATCATCTTCATCATCTTCACGTGTTATATCGGTGTCATCTTCAAGTGGAAGTTTTGTACGGGAGCGATTAGATGAGATTCTTGTTGTCAGAGGGTAAGATTTGTTCAGTTTAATCATATTACATTCCATGAGCAGTGAACTCTCTCCTAAACATATGAAAAGTACATATAAATATCTCTCTCTATATAATTAGTTAACAATTGAGAAGTCCATCTCATATGAAATTGATTCCCACTCGGAATAGAAATAGTTTGAATGCTCACAGCACCATATGGAACATGGAATTCTCTGTGTATTTAAATTCTTTGACAGAATTATTGTGAGATTGATTTGTCTCTAGATGATGTACTACTGAAAACCTCAGTTTTAATTTCGACAAACTAGGCCTCTACATACCAGTTGTATGAATTTTAGAAGGTTTCTTTGTTCACATTTTATATAAAATGTAGCTAACTGAATCCACTGTAAGAAGAATACAAATCCTAATAACTACAAGCCCATAGTCAGTCGAAGAATAACTTAATATGTAACTAAACTGAGGCAAACCAGCGACAGTTACTGTCATGTGGAAATTCACTTGCCAACTGCAAATTGTTTTAAGCATGAACTGATTAATGTGTTAAAGTCATATCATACTTATAAGATCACATTAGGACAAAATAGAATTGCATTTCAGGTACTGTAAGTTCAAAACTAAGAAATTTGTTGTGTGAATTATTTTGGAAATATTTTACTATGTGGATATGCAGGCAGAATAGATCTAAAAACTACTAGGAATTCCAAAATATTGTTGAAGGGCATGGGTATGAACTTTGAATGTTTCTCACTAATCTTAGCTCGCTATAGTAAAATCACCACCTGTAAACACGAACTGTTGAAAATAATACTTTTTTCAAGATAACTTACAAAGGTTTAGGATCATGCATGCAATTGTATAACATAGAATCCCAAACTGGACAGAGATTTTGTATCTTTGGTGAAAGGTTATTAAGTTTTACAAACATGCTTGTGGATGGTTCTTGAGACACATTTGTTATGTACATCTTCTAACTGTTATCAACTACTTCTTTGATTGGCATTCTAGAAGTTGGGTAGATAAAGAATGAGGACTATTTTTATGGATATACAACTTCTTTATTCTATATAGGCGACATTCGACATAGATTCTAATGTCGTTGTCAAGCAAGTGGTGGTGTTATCAACTACACCAATTAAATATGAGCAATCTCTGAGTTTCACAAAGGGCACTATGTAACAACTCCTAGCTCAAGTCTGAAAATTGTCTAAAAAACAGTTTGGCATAGTCTCTTTTTAAACATATTTTATGGTTATAATGTGTTAGTGTACTTGTATCCATCAAATATTTTTGAATTGGATATTAAAATTATTTAGATGTTCGTATAAATTAAATTGGCCTGATCATGTTCATGTTTATTCAATAAACAAAAGATCAATTTTATGTAAAATTATCAATAATTCTGATGGATCTTAGGCTTTGAGCATAATGTATATTATGTGATATTAATATGTCTTGATGTTGTTTTCGGATGCAGAGCAGTTTCAATAGTTAACAAATGCGAATTTCATCTCAGATGAAATTGATTCCCACTCAGAATAAAAATAATTCCTACAGCACCATATGGAAAATGGAATTGTTGTCTGTCCTGTTGTATTGATAAACCGCTAGGAATATGTTTAAGGTTTCGAGAGAGTGTGTAAAGAATTTGATTATTGAAGCAGCTGAGAAGTCATGCTACGACCTGCCCACTATTTAGTGTCCCTGGAGGGATATGGAGCAAGGCATTAGTGTTAATCTTATGATGTAAATATAGAAGATAAGTTGTGTCAACATGATGCTCCACTTTAAGAGACTTGTATGTCCAACCTACCAAGGATGAATTATCTACCTTCTATACACATTCATTCATCCATCCAACATTCCTGTACCCAACTTTGAATTATACATCATACTGGTACCCAACTACATTGAATCATCCACCCAACAAAATTATACACATCACTGAATCATTCAACCAACATATTTGTACCCATCATTGAATTATACATCATACTGGTACCCAACTACATTGAATCATTCACCCAACAAAATTATACCCAACATTGAATCATTCAACCAACATAGTTGTACCCATCATTGAATTATACATCATACTGGTACCCAACTACATTGAATCATCCACCCAACAAAATAATACACATCACTGAATCATTCAACCAACATAGTTGTACCCATCATTGAATTATGCATCATACTGGTACCCAACTACATTGAATCATTAACCCAACAAAATTATACACATCACTGAATCATTCAACCAACATAGTTGTACCCATCATTGAATTATACATCATACTGGTACCCAACTACATTGAATCATCCACCCAACAAAATAATACACATCACTGAATCATTCAACCAACATAGTTGTACCCATCATTGAAATATTCATCATACTGGTGTCCAACTACATTGAATCATCCACCCAACAAAATTATACCCAACATTGAATCATTCAACCAACATAGTTGTACCCATCATTGAATTATACATCATACTGGTACCCAACTACATTGAATCATCCACCCAACAAAATAATACACATCACTGAATCATTCAACCAACATAGTTGTACCCATCATTGAATTATGCATCATACTGGTACCCAACTACATTGAATCATTAACCCAACAAAATTATACACATCACTGAATCATTCAACCAACATAGTTGTACCCATCATTGAATTATACATCATACTGGTACCCAACTACATTGAATCATCCACCCAACAAAATAATACACATCACTGAATCATTCAACCAACATAGTTGTACCCATCATTGAAATATTCATCATACTGGTGTCCAACTACATTGAATCATCCACCCAACAAAATTATACCCAACATTGAATCATTCAACCAACATAGTTGTACCCATCATTGAATTATACATCATACTGGTACCCAACTACATTGAATCATCCACCCAACGAAAGTATGCCCAACATTGAATCATTCAACCAACATATTGGTACCCATTATTGAATCATTCCCCTAACACCACTGAAACATTCTCCCAGCAAAGTGGTAGCCAACATTGGATCATCAATGTAACATCTGACACCCAACATTGGATCATCAATGTAACATCTGACACCCAACATTGAATCATCCACCCTTCATACCAGCCCTCAACATACCAGCATACCCCAAATACTGAATTATCCCCCAATTGTACTGCCACTAAACTTTGAATCATCCTCCCAACATAATGGCACCAAATATTGAATTCAGTGTATAGTTTTACAAATGTGCTTGATCCGATTTTATCAGATGTTATGTGTTGAGATTTTTTTGTGGGTACTTTTTGCCATGTTGGTTTGCACCATCATGGTTTATGTATGTTTATGCCAGGTTACCATGGCAAAGTTAGCCCAACGATCACTGGTAGCGCTTTTGTTGAGCACAATTGGGACTTGTTGTAAGGACACAATTTTAACCATGCCTTCTGAGTAAGGCCCCCTTGGTTTAATTACAACAAAGTCATTTGTTAATGTTATTTAATGGTACATGTAGAATGTGGAGACGAAGGAATCAAGCATGGCATGCTAATAACAGGTGTGACTCTCATTGGGCTACTGGCCTTGAGGCTGGATATTTGATCACTTTTTCACTTTGGTAATGTAATAAACGTGTGCTTAGAATATAATGGCAGGCCAGGTTTTCCCACCAGATTAGGTTCAATCATGTAGTTCAGTTTCATAGAGAGGAAGGATAGAGTGACACTATGCATTAATATGACCTGGGTTAGAAGAGAAACATTCTCTGGAAATATAATATGTGTGCTGTGTAAAGAGTAAATGTTTGTTTGCTCACGCATGTATGTACATATATAGAAGACATTGTACACGTTAAATTTTACATTCCCTTTCAAGGAAGAAATATCAGCTCAGCTACTAAAAAGTGCTAACTTGCGTTTACAACTTGAATGAGAAACAGTGATATGTAATAGGAAAGCAGTATTTCATGAATATTCTGTACACAATGCATTTATGTATGGCTTCGTGGTATGGCTACCCCTGCTCTTAGAACTGTTACCATGTACCCCATGCTTGTCCAGAGAGATGACCAATGAGGATCAGGTGGTCACAGTGTATCACCTGGTTGAATGAGCATCAGGTGGTCACAGTGTATCACCTGGCTGAATGAGAATCAGGTGGTCAAAGTGTATCACCTGGCTGAATGACTGACTGACTGAGTTTGGTTTTACACCGCTTTTAGCAATATTCCAGCAACATCACGGCGGGGGACACCAGAAATGGGCTTCACACATTGTACCCATGTGGGGATTCGAACCCGGGTCTTCGGCGTGACGAGCCAACGCTTTAACCACTAGGCTACCCCACCGCCCTCCTGGCTGAATGAGGATCAGGTGGTCACATTGTGTCACCTAACTGAATGAGGATCATGTAGTCATTGTGTTACCTGTCTGAATGAGAATCAGGTGGTCAAAGTGTATCACCTGGCTGAATGAGGATCAGGTGGTCACATTGTATCACCTAACTGAATGAGGATCAGGTGGTCACATTGTATCACCTAACTGAATGAGGATCATGTTACTCGTCTACCAGAATCCTTATAGTAAATGACATTAAGATATCATATTTCAGGGATACATATTTCCATTATCTTAGACATCAAAACTCATTATGGATTGAACTTGAGATCAGCAGGAGTGTCAGTTTGTGCCTAATTGATGTGACTATTGTGAGCATATTCCTCTTACAGAATTTGTCATGTTTCTAATGTTGTACAGTTGGTCAAAAAATTGCAAGATCCCAGTTTTACTGTTATATAAGATTCATGTGAGTATCAATAATAGAGGGATGTGGATGAAGAAGGTCTCCATGTCGATCTCACCCAGGATATCCGGTTACCCGTTGCCACTGTTAAAGTCATTCAATATTCAACACCCACTTTGTGCACTGGTCCTCAGGAAAGGATGAATATATTTTTGGAAAAAGTGTTGCCTTTCTGGAATTGATAATTTGGTGTCACAAAATTTGATGA